AGTGCAGAATCAGGACTTTCACTACTGCCTACCCCTTGTAGTGTCAACAGAGGCCATACCTGACATTGTGGTGTTAGTGGAGGCCACATGGGGAGCAGTAATAAATCATTCTTACTCCTGCTGTCTGGGAAATCACTAGACCCAGTGGGTCTAGTGGAGAGCTGAAACTCCCACTTTTCCTCAGCATGGGTGTCATGAGGATCCTTCCCCACCAAGGGTGTCACAGAGATGAAGTGGGTAATCTGGACTGCTACCTCTTCCTGGCATTAATGGGGCAGCAACATCTCATTACTTCCCCTGTCAGAGTGATGTCATAAAAAGCCTGGTAAAACAAACTTTAAATGAGATCCATAATCTCATAACACAATAACTAAAAAGTCCAAATTTCAATCGAAGATCACATACTGAGAACCTGAAAAATCTCAAACTAAATGAACAAAGGCAATTAATAGATGCTAATAACACTGAGATAGTAGACATTAGAATTGTCCGACAAAGGTTTTAAAGTGGCTATGGTAAAAATTCTTCAATATACAATTACAAATATGTTTGAAACAAATGAAAAAATAGTCTTAGCAAAGAAATAGAAATAGAAGGAGGACCAAATGGAAATTTTAGTACTAAAAATATGCTCAAAAACCCCTCCAAAAACAACAAAAATGTCTCAGTTGCTGGGCTTACCAGAAGAATGGAGAGGGTAGAAGAAACAGTGACCTGAAGACAGAACATTAGAAATGACCAAATCTGAGCAAACTACAGAAGATGGATTTTAAAAAGAAAGAAACACAGCCTCAGGTACCTGTGGAACTATAACAAAAGATCTAAGACTTTTGTCCTTAAAGGAAAAAAGGAAGTAGTGCTGGAAAAGTACTTGAAGAAATAAGGGCTGAAAACTCCCCCAAATTGGTAGGTACAAACATACAAATTTAAGCAGCTCTGTGAACTTTAATAATAGAATAAATTCAAAGAAGTCCAGACAAAGAAACGTTCTAGTCAAACTTACAGAAACGATCGGAAAAACAAATCTTAAAAGCAGCAAGAGAGAAATAGAGGGAAAACAATTCTAAGACACTTCTTATGAGAAACTATAGAGGCTAGAAGGAAGTGCCATGATATCATTAAGTGCTGAAAGTAAAGATGTGTCAATTGATAATTCTATATCCAGCAAAAATATCCTTCAGAAATAAAAGGTCAATGAAGACATTTTTAGAAAAAAGAAAATAAGAGAATCTGTCACCAGTAGACCTATCCAAAGTTATATCTAAGGGAAATACCCTAAATGGAAAGAAAAAACTAAAAGAAGGAATCTCAAAACATCAAGGATAAAAGAAGACAGTAAGCAAACTGTGGGTATATACAGTAGACTTTATTTTCCTGCATAAATTTTCTAAATTTTGTTAGATGGTTGAAGCAAAAATTATAGCACTATCTGATGTGGTTTTAAACGTATTTAGAGGAAATAAGACAATTATAAACAAGAAGGGCAAAAGATTGTAAAGGGAGATAGTTTCTATATATCACTGTATATGCAGGTAAAATGACCCTTTAGACTAGAAGCCATGTATTTATGATATAATACCCAGAGCAACAACTGTGAACTCTGTACAGAGAGATACACTTAGAACATTGTAGATAAATCAAAATGGAATCCTTTAAAGTGTTCAAGTAAACCATTGGAAAGCAGGAAAAAGAAAACAGAAATGTAAAACAGGAAGTGAAAAAAATGAGAAGGCTATAAGCTATAACATATTAATAGTCATAATAAATGTAAATGGTCTAAAAATACCAATTAAGAGATGAGGATTTGCAGAATCGATTTTAAAATAAAAGACCTAACTGTATCCTGTCTACCAGAAACTTCAAACATAACAATATAGGTAGTTGGTAAGTAAAAGGATAGGAAAAGATACATCACGTAATCATTAACTAAAAGAAGCAGGAGTGGCTATATTATCAGATAAAATAGACTTCAGAGCAAAGGAAAATACCAGAGGTAAAGATTATATGACAAAAAAATGTCAGTTCACCAAGAAGATACAGGAATATTAAATGTGTTTGAACCAAACAGAGTTGCAAAATATGTGAAGCAAAAACTGATAGAACTAAAAGGGAAATAGGCAAACCCACAGTTATTGCTAGGGACTTCACACCCCCCATCTCAACAGTTGATAGAACAACCAGAAAATCAAGAAGGATGTAGAACTCAACAATACCATCAACCAGAAGACTAATGAGCATTTATAGAACACTTTGCCCAACAAGAGCACATAAACACATTCTTTTCAAATGGCCGCTGAACGTATACCAAAACAGACAATATCCTGGGCCATAAACTAAGCCTCAGCAAATTTATAAAAATAGAAATTATAGTGAGTTCTCCAGCCACTATAGAATCAAAGTAGAAACTATAACAGAAAGGGAGCAGAAAATCTTTAAACATTTGGAAGTGAAATGACAAACTGCAAATAATTCATGTGTCAAAAGAGGATATTTCAGTAAAAAAATCAATGAAAAGTAATTTTAAAAAATTTAACCTGAATGAAAATGTAACTTATTAAAATATTTGGGACATAGCTAAAGCAGTGCTGAGAGAAAAATGTATAGCACTAAATGCATTTATTAGAAAAGAGGCAAAGTGTCAAATCAATAACCCAAGCTCCTACTTTATAAGTCCCTAGAAAAAGAGGATCAAAATAAACCCAAAGCAAGCAGAGGGAAAGAAAAAAGATAACAGCAGAAATCAGTAAAATTGAAAACAGAAAAACAATAGAGAAAATGTGTGAAACAAGGAACTGTTTGAGAAGATGAAATTGACAAACCTGTAGCAAGACTGACAGAAGACACAGATTGCCTGCCTCAGGAATGAAACAATATTACAACAGACCTCTCAGGCATTAAAAGGAGTATACAACAGGTCCTGGAATCAGTCCCGGTGGATACTGGGGGCCAATTGTGTTTGCTTGTCTGCTAGATTCTTTAATGTATCCTTAGTACCTAGAACAGTGCCGGCCACATAGTAAATATTCAATAAATATTTGTTGCGTGAATGAATAAGTGAATACAGAAATCAGAAAGCAATGATCACCAGTTTTGGTAGGAGTGATTTGATAATGAACTCTCTTCTAAGGAGTTAGTTGTGAATCTAATCCTGAATTCGCTATTAGCTAACTCAGTCCATAGCTTCAGTTGTCACTTCAGCTATCACACAGATGCCTCTTAAAACTACTGGAGGAAGCAATAGCATAGGAAACATGCTGGTCAAGAACATTAGCTATCTGATCCCATATGAAAAATGAAGACAAGAGAAGTTAGTGTTACTAAATGCAGTATTATGTGTAGCATTTAGATCTGTGCTTGATCCGTATTAAGTACTCAATAAAGGGCATCATTGATTGAACCTGAGCTTCATGTTCATGAGCTAGCACACCTCTAATATAATACAGTGAAACTGTATTTGAGTTATCACCTGCAAAAGCTAAGTGATATCTTAAAGATCTTCCAGCCTGGCCCTTCATTTAACTGATGCCAGAGTGAAAAGTGACTTGCACAAACTTACACAGCTAGTTGAAAAAGAATATGGAGAAACAAAGGTAGTTGGGGACCAAACCTTGGGGGTAATGTTAATGTAAAGGATGGGAATAAAAAATAGGAGACAGTATAGTTGAGTTTCTGAGGGTTTGCCTCTGAATTTTACAGCTGTCTTCTACAATAAATTTTATTTTCTGGAAATAAATGACATTTGCCTGCTGTGGATAGCTCTATGTATATTTCCCATTGGTATGTTTAATTCAGCATGTCTAACACCAAATTGGAATCATTACATGTTAAAACTGAAAAGGACTATACAGGGCCTCCAGCTAACCTCTCATTTTACAGATAAGGAAAACAGATTCTGCCCTGGGGTGGAAGGCTCACACTTCTTAGATTCATTTATAGCAATGTGAGCAATCAGTTGTCTCTTGGGCCACTTTTGCCCAGGTTGTAGAGCATTACTTTAAGTCCTTTTGGCTTAGAGTGAGCCTTCTAAGCTCATCTTGGCTGCAACAACCCCTGCTGGTGTTTATAACTGAATCTTTTAGGTTGAATCATTTGAAGAAGCCCCATACATAAAAAGAGATGGAAAAGAGCTGCTGTGGTTAACAACAAAGATTTGTTGTTGTTGGTAGAGGGTGGGTTGTTGGAGAGGGAAAGGATGTTTTACTCTGATTACTTGGCCCCCTCATTCCTGGAGGTGAGGAGCCTCTGAAGTGCCTCCGAGGTTAGGAAGCAGTTTGAAATCCTCTGATTTGGAGGCACGTGAGATCTGGCAGTGATGGCAGGAATGAGAAGACCACTGGTGTTTCTGCTCAAGTTCCCAGTGACTTGTCCACGTGCCCTGGAGTAATGATTTTCAGTTCTTTCTTGAATCTAAGAATTAAGAACTAGGCTGTCACTACAGCTAGGGCTTTAATCAACTCTCAGCTATCATTTAAAAACTCTCATCAGTCACATTTGTAGTTACTTACATGGACAAGCAGCTTTTTTGTGTGAATTAAATTGCCTTGAAATAGCTGATTTTAATAGTATAAACATAGCCCATGAGTTACTGTCACATGAGGAGAAGCTTAGCAGTTATCAGCATATTGATCTTGCATAAACCCTTATAATGTTCTGATGAATTTTAAAATACTTGACATTTTAATTATTTTATAGTATTATTTGTACTTTGAATCTTAGCAACTGATGAAGCTATGCTGGACACCATGAGGAGACAGAGGGAAAATAGGAGAAGGTCCTTGCCCTCACATTTGAGTCATGCTGGGTATAGAATGAAGAACGTGACATTTTAGGGTTTTTTCCCCTCTTTACCAGCTGAGATTTCTTTTCTATACAATTTTTTTTTTGGATAGGTGATTTTTTTTTCATATTGTATAATTTTTAATTTTCTGACTTGGAAAACATGTTTATGACTGAAAATTTGGTAATTTAAAATTGTGTGCTTTATTTCAAATTGTTATTAGATTGCAAGACTGGAGAAGGATAAAGAACTACATAACCAACTGTTTAGTGTTGATCCCACAAGAGACAGCAAACAAATGGAGCAACTTGTTCGAGAAAAAGTCCATTTGTGTCAGAAATTAAAAGGTTTACAGGCTGAGGTAGAAGAATTAAGAGCTGAAAAAGAGAATTCTGGTGCTCAGGTAGAAAGTGCCCAAAGAATTCAGGTGCGGCAGTTGGCTGAGATGCAGACTACAGTCAGATCCCTGGAGGTAAGATTTTAATTGCTTCCTGGTAGAGTATGGCATACTTGTTTTAAAGTGCAGTTGACAAGCCTTTGATTTTTAGGGCATAAATGTACGCTCACCAATCCAGTGCTGACGCATTTATGGAATCCCAAGAGTATAGATAGTTTTTGTAAAGAAGCAAGCTATTGATTCATAAGCAGTGGCTATGCTGCCGCATTTACAAAGGGATTGTTTCTTCTTTGGGAGTCACGTCGCCTATCTGAAATGATTTAACTCTTATAATGCCACAGAGTAGAGTATGCAAAATTTTTACAGAATGAGTTTCTGAAGACTAAAGTCATCTCAAACCAGAATGAGTCGTTTCTGGTTATTTCCTTACACTGGGATTCAAGATCTTAAAATCAAGTCCTATTTTTATAGGAATACCCTACTTATGTATTTTATGACAACTTCTTGCCAGAGTAATAAAATTTAATTTGGTTACTAATGTGTGTAAACCTTTATTGAATTATTTCCCTGAGTTCGTTAGAGAAAGTAATGAGCTGGCAGATCTAGGCTGGTACTCCTACAGGTATTCGTCTGTGAAAGTTCTTGGCTTCTATTGTTGGAAAAGAAGAACTTTTCCTTCATCCTCTTAGGTTCAGTGTTGGAGGGTTGTGAACTAAACTGACAACAGACAGATTAGCAAGAGAAAAGACAGGTTTTTATTCATGTATATAAAAAGGAGTTCACAGAAAAATGACTCAGAGGAAATTATAATTTGGGGCTTATCTACCATCTTAATCAATTAGGAAAAGAGAGGGAGGGAAAGCCACACAGGAAAACAAATAATTTTTAGGAAAAGTAAATGGGCTCTTAGGAAAATAGATGGAAGATAGGATAATTCTGTGATGGTGTTTGAATAGGTGATTTCTTATCCTGGTGTTGACTTCTTGTTTTCTGTGATAGCACTTGGTTTTTCCTGATTATGAAGCCCCTGGGGAGTGGATTTATAACACTTAAATTCTTTTCAGAGGCTCTACTTTTAGGAGGATAAGAGGATTTCAGGAAAAAACTTTTTCCTGTGTCTGTTCTCTTTTAGAAGCCTTCAGCTCAAAATAATTTTTATGCCAGAGTGGTATATTCTGGACTCCTTTAGTATTTTATTCAGATATGCTTACTCCTCCTAGTCCTTAGAGTCTTATATGTAGCAAATATACTAGTTTGATAGTTTTTAAAAAATTATTTGAGCAATCCAAAGTGTTCTGTTTTCTTCAGAATGGTTGTGAAGCGGTTTGAACTAGAGGGAAGTTAAGTTGTGCACCTAATTTATAATTAAAATCGAATATCCAAATACAAAAGTGATTTTTTTTTTCCTGGTCAGCAAACTGGTACAAGAAGTACATTAATATGTTTTGAAGAGTAGATACCACCTTTTAATTTTTGGATGAAGCTTCTGAAATATTTATTGGTTTCCTGAACTAAAGTTGTCAGTGTCATTGCACTTTAGACATGAGAATGAACTGTTTATATTGTCATCCTTCCATCCTTAATGTATCTACACAGTGACAGAATAAGTGGAATGATTGTGATTGAATATGGTGTAGGATCTCAGTGTGAAACTCTACGTTGAGGTCATTTAGAGGGATTATTTTCAGGACAAGTTGAATGATAACAAAAGATGGTTTGTTCATCTCCGATGTTTTTAAGAGTCTGTATTTAATATTATAATTTGTCGGATGAAATGAAAATAAGCGCATGACAGCAAGTCTTTCTTCTTTGATTTTTTTTGTTGTTGTTGTTATTGTGCCTGAAGAGTATCATTTTGTGTTTGAGGAAAATAATTTTTTTCTGAATTATTTGTTGAATACACTCATCATAGTTAAGATGTATAGGAAATGAGATGTTACAAAGCTGCTTATCCTATAAATGCAAAATGATTTCATTTTATCTATTTTGAATAGAAATATCTTTAAAAATCATTTAGTTTTCCTCTTCTATTTAAAGACTACTGTGAATATTACCAACTAGAAATTTTCTTGACAGTTTACTTCACTAAGAATCTTTATTATGTGATGAGGTCAGGAGCTGTTGAGTTCTTTGCCCGTACTTCTCAGAGGCTCCGTATTAGTTGAGGGTTTTCAAATGTTAATCTCTTGGTGTTTGTTGTTTTTTTCTAATCTCCATTGATTTTAGATTTCCAGTTCTCACTTCTTACTACTATACATGAGCCCTCTCTTCTACCTTGTAATATGCTTTCTCATGTCTTCTGGGTACTTAAAATCCTCCAAAATGTTTAAATTATGTCCACAATAAGAGTGAATATGTATCAAATGAGTGTGTTAGGTACACTCTTTCATGAGAGAAGTCTATGGGTTTTCTCTTGGTGGTGGCTGTTGTTATGTTGGTTGTCCAGGTAATGTTACATATTCCCTGGAGCAAGTATCTTTTATGTGAATTCTACCAGTTACTTTGAGAAAGTAACTTGTTACTTTGTTGTATGTTAATATTGAGGTTTTGAATAATTGGGGATGGTATGATTATTACATGTATTTAAGTAGTGCTTTTTGTTTTCATATAACTGAGAAATTATGAACAGATTTTAAAATAATTTTGTTTTAATAAAAGGCTGAAAAACAGTCAGCTAAACTACAGGCTGAACGCTTAGAAAAAGAGCTACAATCAAGCAATGAACAAAACACTACTTTAATTAGTAAATTGCATAAAGCTGAACGGGAAATAAATACTTTGACCAGTAAAGTAAGTCATCTTATGTTTCTACTTCATTCTTTAGAATGCTTGATATTGTATAATGACAAAGAAATTTTGTGTTTATGTAGTTTAGTTCTCTATATCGAAATCTCTTTTAATCTTATTCTGCCTTCCAAATGCATGTAGAATCTGACCAATTCTTCACTACCTTTATTGTGACCACTTCTGTCCAATTTTTAGAATAGCCTCCTAACTGGTCTCTTTACCCTTTACCCAGTCAGAACTCTGTGATCTGGCCCCTGCAATCTTTCCCCAGCCATCACAGTTTATTTTCCCTCCTGTTCACTTTGCTTTAGCTTCACTGGCCTTCTCACTCTTCTTTGAGCAAGTTTACTCCTACCTCAGGATCTTTGCACTTGCTTCCATTGCATGATCTTCCCTCACATATCTACATAGCTTTCTTCTTCACCTGTTTCTGATGTTGCCTCATCAGAGGGGACTTTCTTTTCTTCACTTTATAAAATACCATCTTCCTTCTTCCTCTGCCTCACTCTTTGTCTTCCTTACCTGCTTTATTTTTCTTCATAGCTCTTAATACCATCTGATATATTTGTTTATTTTTGTCTTTTCTACCCTCTTTCTCTCAACCAAATATAAGCTCCAAGAAAGCAGAGACATATCTTTTATTACTGCTGTATCTCTAGCTCCTAAAACTGTACTGGCACACAATAGACACTCAGTAAGTATTTGTTAAGTGAGTAAATTAAAATCAACAGCATGATCTGATATGGTTTGGACATTTTATATATATATGTAGTTTTCTAAGGAACTTAAGAGATTTCTCCCCCCTCAAATGCAGTGTATATAAGGAATCTAGTAATCAGAAGTGGGATACCAATGACAAAAATATTTTATAGACTACTGTAATGAATATCAGTTCTGGAGTCAGTCAGGCTGGACTTGAATTCCATTTCTTTCCCTTACTAGCTGCATAACGGACAATTTACTTTCTAAAGACTTTAGTGTTTTCCTTTATAAAACAAGACTAATACCTCCCTTACAGAGTGTGGCAGAGATTAAATGAGATATTATGCATAAAGTACTTAGCATGGGGTCTAATATATAATTACCTGAGTATCAGTTGTTAGTAGTAGTACTTGGGGCAGCTCTCAGAACTTGAAAATAAGACTGGTTTCTGAATTAGTAAAATCCTATATTGTATTTCTATCAGAGCACAGTTATATAAAACCACCTTAAAAAACAAAATGGTTCCCAGACCAGAAGGAATTTACTGTAGCCTAGTAGAAAGATATGAATTTATCTAGAGGGGCAATGTGTTCATCATAAATTCCTTGTCCAGAGTCAAGCAGATTTTGACAGAGGGAAGAGAGTTTTAATCAGTAAAGGGTAAATATTCTAGTCCCATTGAAGAGATCATTCTTACTATGGAAAAGAATAATTCAATCCATTTTAATTTGTGGCCAAGAAACAGTGAATTCATCCCATTCCGTTTGTCAAGATTGTGTGATCCCCAAGCAACTTTCTGTTACTTGATTTCCTCTGTAATTTTGTCTACAGGAAGAGAATGCACTGGTCCTTAAGAATTAGAATATTCTAGTTTCCATTATAGCTTTTTTCCTCATAATTAATAAATGATACTCTGATTTTATAGATCACTCTTTGTAAGCTTTAGTAATGTGAGTCTGACTTTGAGAGTCTTCTTTAAGTGTGGTGACAAAATTGGATTTTTGTGCCTGAAAGGCCAAAGTAAGTATTACATCATTTTCTCATTTAAGGACATTACTCATATAATTGTTGTCATCATTTTCATCACCAGCTACTGTTTCTTCTGTTTAGTGCTTCTGATTTGCTTCACTTTGGAATGGGGATAATACCGCTCTCTCTTTTTTTTTTTTAACTTTTTTTAATTGAGTTATAGTCATTTTACAATGTGTCAAATTCCAGTGTAGAGCAC